CATATCTTATTTACCACACAGAGCGTGGTGAGGGCTGAAGAAACTATAACAGATGAAACTTTAGATACGTCTGATGCAGTGCTGATGATCTGTTGTCTTCTGTTTCAGTGTCTGTCCAGAGATGCTTCAGGAAGGATTGACCTGCAGTACAAGGGCACATCGGTAAGATGTCTACACACACTTGAATTGTGTATCAACACTTCATCACACAGGCTGCTGTCTTAGCAGGCTTTAATGCAGAGTGTAGTGTTAGCTTACAACTCTCAAACACAGAGATCAAACGTCATTCTAACCTCAGCCAGAGGCCTCTGAGGAGCAGATGGAGGGCAGGAGGGTCTTCAGTGATGAAGAGAACGATGGGTGGGAGTTGTGCAGCTATCATGACTGTTGTTTTAAGATAATGTTGATTACATCTGTCATTGTTAAGTTCCACATACTGGTTCTTAACTGATTCGTAAAAGTACTTGTATAGCAGCCTACTGATCAATAGTATGCTTTATTTTGTATTTACAGTGAATGTATGAACTCCAAACAGAGGGGTTTAAGAAGAGATGAGCACATACATCACATGCATGTACTTTGCTTTCAGTATCTTTGAGGCTGTGGCTCTGGGGGTAAAGGGGAGTCCAATCAGAGGAGCAGTGGTTCAATCAAAGATACTGAGCCCCATGAACAGTCAAATGAACGCTCCAATGAGCAGATCAAATTGTTAGGTGGTAAAACATTGAAACATAAACAGTAGCTGTTGACTTTAGCTCACGCTCTCTGCATAAATGTGTCATAAATGAGTCATATAATCTCATTAAAAAAGTAAAGACTTTATGTACAGATTCTCCAGGGACCATTCTTGTTGATGCTTATACATTCTACCTGGTATCTGCCAAGACCTGCAAACAAACAAACATTGCTCTGTTTCTCATCCTCTGTATTTCTGTCTCCAGTTTAAGATCCGTGTTCTGTCTAAGCTGGCTGCAGAGTTGAACTCCTACATGCCAGAGAAAGTTCCAGAGGACACCAGCAGCCTCCTGCGCTCCCCCATGCCGGGCACCGTGGTGACTGTGTCCGTCAAGCCTGGAGACACGGTAACACATGATGAGAGCTTTACACACCGGCAGCCACAGTGCACAGTTCTTATTTGTACCCGGGGTCACCTGACTGATCCATGTTCCAGGGTACACTGCAAACTGCCATGCTCTGTGACCTCTGTCTGTCCTTCTTAGTTTGGTCTAGGCCTCTGAGTTCCAATGAAAGGAAATATTGATGTTAAAGCATAAAGTGAAGTTTTACACAAAAGAGTGCTTCAGTTGTGACTTGCCCTTATCCTGTTTCAACGTGCACAAATCCAGCTCCATCAAGACGTGTTTTTCCCCAGTTTCTTCCCTTTTTAGTAGGCCAACTGGAAGTTAGCATCTCAAGGGCTGCCTCGACAAAGAGCAAAGGGATATTTCCATTGCTTTTTAGAATATTGCATAAAAAAGATTTGTGGCAAACACGTTTTACTTACACATTTTGTTCAGCAGGATAATCTACACATATTACAAATACTTGTATGATTCAGTGCCTTGCTCAGGGGCATCACAGGGCCCAGAAGGTGAACTGGGAGCTCTCCAGGTACACTCCATATTTTAGGTCTGGTCGGCGACCCTGAGACCCACAGTCCAAGCCCCTACTGACTGAGCCACTGCTAAGCTAAAGGCTAATGTTGGGCTTGTTCACATTTTTCCACAACATAATGAGACTATCTCTTCAGCTTGTGTCAATGACTATTTCAGGCATCCAACCAATAACACAATCACAAAAACATTGACTTCCATACAAGGGTAATGGAAGTCTTTTTTTAAAGATTTATATACAATATATTGTTTGGAAAAATCCCATTTTCTTTTTTATCGAGGGACGCCTTGCACTTCTAGTGTCCAGGTTGGCCTTCAACAATCTGTCATCACTGCACCGCTCTGTTCAGCCAACACTATTCAGCCATTGTTCTTTTTGACTGAAACTGTGTGTGTGTGTGTGTGTGTGTGTGCGTGTGTGCAGGTTGCAGAGGGTCAGGAGATCTGTGTGATTGAAGCCATGAAGATGCAGAACAGTCTGACTGCTGCCAGGGGAGCAAAGGTAACAACATGAACAGTGACAGAGAACTAACAGTCATCATTGTTCGTAACTAATCTAGTTCATAGATTATAAGGCTTGTTGCTAAAATCAGTGAATCCCTACTCATGAATATAAGGTCCACCAAATAGTTGCCAAAGTGATAAATGATCAGGTGGAGAAGATTTTAATGAAACATGTAAAATAATAACATTCTGAATTGGCCTTTTAAAGTGTTCATGTTTTAATGTTCACCCGTGTGTGTCCTGTCCTCCAGGTGAAGAGTGTGCACTGTAAGGCGGGGGAGACAGTGGGAGAGGGAGACCTGCTGGTAGAGCTAGAATAAATCTTGACCTTTGACGTGTGACATCATCACCAGGAAGAGCCTTACCCCCTCTGAGTCCTCAGAGGAGGATCCACACTGAAACACACTGGACAATAACAGACGCTCCATCATGTTGCCAGTGGTTACTCTCCGGAGAGCCCCCCCCCCCTCACCACCATGACGATGACTCAGCAGTCTGCTCCACATGTAACACTAACCCTGCAGCTGCACAGAGCTCATGTAAATCTGTCCATGCTTCTGTTGAGTGTGTTTTCTAGACCTGATTGTTTGTGTTGTTTTTGGAGTCAGTTTAACCACATTTCAAAAATATTGTCCCGTTTCACCCTCATGCTGTTTGCCTTGCAGATAGCTTCAGTTATATGCCAAGGTTTTTATGTCTGCTTCCAATAATATGGACTTGGACCTTTGGTGTGTAAGCTGCTCATGACTCTTCCAAATGTTATTTTTCTTTGATTTGAGAACCAAAAATACATTTAATTGGATTAGAGGCAGACATTTTAAGAGACAGATATCTCAATTGTAGTAAAGATACTGCGCTCATTCTTCCAACTGTAACTGAATGAACTTCTAAATGAACAGTTAGATTTAGACTGGAGAATGTTCTGGTTTCCATCCTGTGCTCTGGAGTCAGGTTTCCTGCTGTTGGGGGGGTCCTTTTGTCTCCATGGTGCAGGTCCAGCCTTGATCAGACCTCACTGAACCGGTGTATTTATATTACAACCAACTTACATCTGTTTAACAATAATGTGACTTCTAGAAGCAATTGGCTGACCAGTGATGATTTAGGTTAGGGTTTCCTTATTAGAGACAGAACACTTTAGCAAACATCTTTCATCTGTAATTAATGTAGAGGACTTTTTTTAATGTAATAAAACTTTGATTCAAAATAAACACTTATCAAAATATAAAATGGGATTAATATTTTCTATGAACCATGTGGTGTACTGTGTTAATCTGACAAAGTGTGTGCCTTAACCCTTAGATGCATAAGTGGGTCTTTTTTGACCCGGTGAGGTGGTTTTCTTGAAGTATCTTTGTAATTACATTTTTTTATCATTTCATATTCCAGCTATTCCTCAAAAAACATGTTTTGGATATCATGCCATTCAAATTTTAAGAAATTGTAGTTTTTGTATTTCTACCCCCAAGCTTCCGTAAGTGGGTCAAAAATGTAAAAAAAAGTCAAATTTATAAATAGTGGAAAATTAAATATAAAATATTTCTAGTGTGAACCAAAATATAATACTAAATATTGTACAAGTGATTTTTCTTAACCAAAATGGCATAAAAACATATTCTAATACGGGTCCTTTTTGACCCACTTATGGAAGAGTGTAGGGTCCAGTCACTCGTGCATCTAAGGGTTAAGAAGCATATATAGGAAATAAAGACTCCAATAAAGACTTGTTTCCCAAATTTCTTTTTAAATGCTCACAATAAAAATAAATAAAATGATTCAACCTTTATTTTTCAACAAATGTATTTTGCGCTGGAGATGTCCTTCTGGAGGACCCTGGTGCAGGGCGAGCAGCCTTTTCTCCCTGAATCTGGAACCTTCTACTTTCTAACTTGAACTTGTTTAATACTGTAAAACAACCAACACACCTGTTCCCTCTGTGTCTCCATTGAGATCTTCAAAAAGCAAATCGAGGTCTTTGATCCTCAGTAGATAAAGCCAGTCATCCTCTTTGGGAATCACACTTTTATTTAGTTGCTGCTGGTTTGTGATCTTCTCTCAACTGACTTCCACCCTGTTTGGTTCTCCCATTTTTTATATTTTTTTATTTAGTTGCATAAAAATAACATTCTTTGTAATTTCTCATTTGTTTCCTCTAAATGTGTTAGACATTTGTTTCCCGATCAAGAATGATGATTAAAAATGGACTCTGCTGTTATGATTGATATATCGGTTGATAAAGCTTACATTATAAATAGCAACCCCTGATAAGAAATGTTCCTCAGCTTTTAGGAACAGATGTAGACTCTTCATCTTCTTCACACATATTACCATGCTGCTGTGGCTCAGGGGGAAGTGGGAGCCTAGCAATCAGAGGGTCAGTGGTCTGATCCCCTGCCCCTGCAGTCAACATGTCAATGTGTCCTCGGCTGGATAATGAACCCCAAACTGCTCCATACTCTACGGTAATGAAGTGTATCGAAGTGGCTTTGGATAAAGTGTCAGCTAAATAACATGTAACAGCCAGTCTGAAGCACTAGGCCAGATAATCATAAGACATGTCATGAAACTCACTTCTTCAGAGCGTGCACACACAAGACAAACTGTCAGTCTTCTGTCATTCAACAAGCCCTTCAGATGTAGCTCCACTTCCTGTCACACACAGGCTCATTAGAATACACTCTGAGAACCACCTTTACAATTGTTCTCTTATAGACCAGTCAGGAGTTCAAATAGAGCGTTGATGACAGAGTGAATATTACATGAATATATAAACCCAGCATTACTGTTGAGTCCCTGGTGCCATCATCCTGCTCTAACTCCATGTTTTCGTCTCCATCCTGATACCGTGAATGGGGTTATTAAGTCAGAAACAGAAACACCAAAACAACTCAACCAGGTTTAATCTAGGATTCCTAATTGAACTACAAAGAGAATGAATGAATCCATGCTTCTCTTTGGCTTTAGGAATATATCATGTGAAAACATCATACAGTACGTATTAGATTGTTATTTACAAGAAATGTTGAAAAAGCCAGAGTTAAACAGGTCATAGTGAAGCCTCGGACTCATTTGACTGAATCACTTTATACACCGAGCAGATACTGATACTCAGAAACTGACATGAGCTGAAAATACATGAGTAAGCAGCCAGTCAGCTGGTGGTCAGATCTTGAAAAAAAAGGCCTTTAAACAGTTTTAACTCTCACAGCAAAGTGGAAAAATGTATTGCCGACTTGTTGAAGTTCGATAATGTGTGGGTACTGATGGGGAGGGAGGGGCCAGGTGATGAATTCAAGCTCAGAGTTTAAAGTTGCTTTTCTTAAATCTGGTGACACACAGTTCTCAAATGATTTTCTAAACTCTACAGCTTAAGCTTAATGAGTATCTAACCACTGGTTGAGGTACCATTTGTGACCCTTAACTAAAGAGGTAGACACCCCCCGACTGAGCTTGAGAACAAACCACATAAAGTGAAACTCGCACGGACAGGTTTGCTCTGGTGCATCACATCATTCCTTGCTCCTAGCACACTGAACACACATGGAGATCGTACCGAAGCTGAGCGGGACCTCGCTGGGGAGCGGATGGAACCACTGCTTCCCTGAGGTAACCACAGGTAGATTCTGGGGAACAGGCCGGGGGTGTATCCTCAGTTTCCCAAAGTGGGACTGGCTTTCTGTCGGATCAGGAGTATAATACTTACTTGGATTGTTTTTATAAGGAAGCTTTCAAACTGTCGCCATTTTATTTTCAAGGCCTTTGCAGAATCTTTTTTTCTCAGAACTGAATACATCCTCGACAAATCATCAGCAGATGAGTCAGCAGTTATCCCCTGATCAACACCTCAGAAATAAAAACTATTCGCCAAAATGTTGATGACTCCAGTCGCCCTTTGTGAATCTCAAACTGAAATAAAAGTAGTCTGAACTGAAGACTGCAGAGCTGTTTTGACCCATTTTGACATAGTTGGTGTTCCCTTTTGCAGATACTGTGCAAAATCTGTGCAAAATATTTGCCCACAATTCAGAGACAGGAGTACATTTCACACATGTGAACATGTTTGTTAAGAAGCAGACCCTCAGCTTTATTTGTCTCACTACCAATCTCTACATGTTTAACTCAGAGTGCATGGACGATGGGACAAACCTAACATGAAGTGTCTCACTGCCCTCTATGGTGAGTAAGATTCTGGGAACACGCGTGTAGAGTTATGATTAGTTTCATTCAGATTATAGGCAGATACAGGATGTATGTTCAAAATTACAACCCAGAGTACACATGCTCACACAAAAAAAACAGTTTAGGCACACAGAGAGAAGTCGGCAGCAGAGTGTCTCTGCCTGAAAAGGAGGGTGAAGGGAAATGTTCAATGTTCCAGAGGTTCATGGGAAAAAGCAACCTCCAGACATGTACAGTCTCTGTGTGCGTGTGCGTGTGTGTGTGTGCATGCGTGTGTGTGTGTGTGTGTGTGTGTGTCCTTCAGTCCACTTTGACCACACTGTAGATCTTGGTGACAAACCAGAAGCAGGCGAAGAAGCCGATGGAGCCTGAGAACAGAGAAATGAAACACATTGAATTATTTTATGACCCAAAGCACAAAATCTATGTTATATACTGTGTTGGAGCTATACATTGTATTGTTTTATTTAGTAATTAAACCTTTATTTTCTAGCTGTTTTTGTTTATATGAAATTAATCATTATTTATTGTAATTATTTTAGTGAAAGTAATTCTTTATGCTTTTATTTTGAAGGTGGTTTCACCTGGTGATTATTATATATTGGAGACAGGAGGATTGATTGGCGAATCCGATTGGCCAAGGTCTTTTACCAGGGAAACCATAGGAGAATCCACATGGGGAGCCATGGTTCTTTAGGTATTGTATTATTAGGTATTGTATTATTGGAATACTACTAAATAAACCGACGTTAAGGACACTCCTTCCTGGACATTTTTCCTGCGTAAGATTAGCAGTTTAATTTTGAGTTTGTATTTCGGTTTTATTTCTTTATTTAGCATCTACATTCTGGTTTTGTTGGCAGTGAGATGTAACTCTAGATGAATTGCTACATACAGCTCTGTAAAAAAATGAAGAGACCCCTGCAGCAGGGTTTCCGCTAGGATCTTTTCTCGCCGGTCAAATGTCCGGACAGAATTTATTTTACCGGACAAATTTGAAACTTACCGGTCATGTTTCAATAATAATAATAAGAATTGTGTAGCAGAGTTTCCGTTAGCAGGTCATTACCGGACTATGAGCGGATATGCTGATGTTTAAAACTCAGTTAATGGGGCTCATTTTTATATTGCTTCAGTTTATAATCGTAACAGATCGAAAAATTCAGATTCATTTTTCATTAAATGATTCCACAAACAACATAATTATTACATTCAAACAAACTACTTGTAGCAGCCTAGATGAAGTACATTATTCAAAAGTTTACATTAACTTTGGATAATAACTCTTTTCCTCTCTCCCTCTCTCTCCTGACAGCCCGTCTGTTTCTCATGCAGCTCGCTAAACAGTGGGCGGGGCTTCAGGTGATCATGCAGAGCTGCGTGTCTCCGTCACACTCAGCAGCTGGCGGCCGATCGATCGGAGCATCCCTTATTATTACCGGACATTTTGAATTTACCGGTTTTGAATTAATTTTACCAGCTAAAAACCGGTAATTACCGGCTAACGGAAACCCTGCCCTGCAGCATTATCAGTTTCTCTGGTTTTACTAGCTATAGCTATGTGTTTGAGTCAAATAACAAATTGTTTTATTTTGTAGAGATTGAGATTTAAGAAACATTTTGAGATGTTTCTTAATTTTTTCCAGAGCTGTATATTAATCAGATGGGAACAACTCGTTTATCATATTAGCTTCCAGCCATACCACTGCTCTGACATCTACTTTAGTTCTGGAATTGAATCCAGTACCAACATATACATTAGTCTTGATATCCTCTGCCTTCAGATACTGTTTTATCAGTCAAGACATGATGAATGATCTAAACATTCCATCAGTAATACAACTAAGAAATAAATATAAGAGAACAAATGTTTAACCCCCAAAAACACTCATGTTTGTTGCGTGCTACATCAATCCCCTCATTGCCTTGTTTGTATGACACCCACCAGTGAACAAGAAGAAGATGAGGGCCATGATCATGGTGTATCCGAAGTACAGGATGGTGCTGGCCAGCCCCGTGATCTGCAGCTTGGAGAAGAAGTAGTGGATGGCGTAGATCAGGAAGTAGACCGCCGTGAAGCCGCTGGTCAGGAAGGAGCGCCACTGCCAGTGATAGTCCTGAGGGGGGGGGGGGGGCACAGCAGAGAGGAGGGGGGGAGAAACAGCGTTTAGTAAATGAAGACCCTGACTGAAACCCGGAGGAGTGAGTGGCCCCGTCATACAGAGCCTTACAGCTGCGGAGTTAAATCAGTCAAAAATTAAGTTTCTATTAAAAAAAATGTACCAGACTCCACCCGGTTTTCATTCATTCAATTATTTTGTTCTCACAATGTGACTTATTGCATTTAAATGGTCATTTAAAACGGCAACTACTTTGTACACTTGTATAATGTATTTATAATCCTATGTTTATATTTTGTTAGTGGAAGGTTGGTGTATTATAGTGAATAGCAAATGACTCTATATTGTATATTTATATTTATTCGATCGAAATTCTCTATAGATATCTATCTTCTACTGGTGACATGTATATATGTTACCGGTTTATTTAAGCTGCTGTAACAAAACATTTTCAAAATGAGGAATAATAAAGCTAATCTAATATGAAGACATCCTTTGGTTGCCCTCCTGTCTGAAGCTCCTGGGCCTAAAGGGGCTCCATTCACTCCATTATGGTACAATCTGCAATAAAACACTGGTCAAATGTAAACTAAATAGATTATTTTAAACAAACATCAGTATTAATATCATCCCTGAAGATGATAATTATATTTATGTGTGTCATTGATCTGCAGCTCACCTCAGCACAGAGGTGGAAGTAGCAGAGCAGGATGGTGGCCTCAGAGCAGGTGATGACCAGGATGATGAAGACGAGGAAGAGGAAGCCGAACATGTAGTACATCTGATGGGACCTGCAGGACAGTGCAGATTACTACAGTCAGTACAAACCAGTAAATACATCAGTGCATGGTATCGTCACTGTGCTGCCTTTGTGGTTTCAGATCATTGTCTTAAGGCCTTTCCTCTGTGGTGGGTTCACTATGACATGAATCAAAAGTCCCCTGCCTCCTATCAGAAATCCTTTAGAGGGTTTACATATACTGTCAGAGTTGAATGAAAAGCCAGGTAATTTCCAGTAATGTATACAGTTCCACTGATAAAACATATTTCATTACAATGTAGTTAAAAACAAATAAATAAATGTCCCATTACATCATAGAAAACGAGTATGGGCAATGTTTGTTTTAAAGACATATGTAACAATGTTTGTATTCTTGATCATATTCTGTTATATTTGTCATACTCATTCTAAATATTCAAGATGAGAAAAAGCCTGTGCAGTTGCATAATCTTGCTTCCTACTTTTTATATGTAGAATGTCTTTTTATGTTAATGTATTGAGGCTTCAGATTGTGAGTCACCCTTTACAGACTCCCCACAGCTTCGAATAGAGTGAACAGTAAGCCACATACTTAAAGGGGACCTATTATGCTATATTTGAAAAATATATTGTAGGGCCATACCTATACAAAACATGCCTGTGAAGTTTTTTGCTTAAAATACCAAACAGATCACCCATTGTAGCCATGCCTCATACCCCTCTATTCCAGCCCTGTTCCAAAAAGGCTGATTCTGTGACCGTAGCTTTAAATGGAACAGCTGCTGCTAGCCACGCCCCTTTGTAGCGTCACGCAGCTTTCCCCTGCTAAGAGAGTTTTCTACCGGGAGAAACTCAGCTAAACGCTGCGGTGATTAAATGCCATATTATGTTCCAAACCACATCAAGCATTATTTCTGAAACAGTATGGAGCTCAAACCTTTCTCTCTCTCAGGGTTTACCGCAAGGACATTACGTTACACATACTCTCTCCAGTACAGTGTTAGCTCTGAGTGTTAGCATGCTTGCTAATGTAAACACAGACCATATTACTCCCAAAACACGCCGCACATTGTTTCTGATACAGCACATAGCTTGACATGTTCTTTCTTAAGTGTTTACCGCAAGAACAGTGCCATTATATGTATTATATATATAACAACTTTACTCTAAGTGCTTCCTGCAGACATCCTGCTGAATACACAGACACACAGCTGGGGAGGGGGTTCAGCTAGACGACTGTATACGGAGACGATAGGTTGGGACGTGTCACGTGTGCCACATTTCACCAATGATGTCATAGGAGCCAAATCCTGGATCTGCTCGTTTGCACTCCCGTTTTTTTTTTTTAAGAGATGTGGGTAAGGATGAAAAGAGAGAGGGTTGTATTTTCTGAAACTTTGTGAGTCTCCTTACACACCGGGGACACATATTTATGTATAAAAGACATCAAAAAGTGCATTTTGCATAATAGGTCCCCTTTAAATATACATACACACAATTGAGTATCAAAAACGACCCCTCAAGATGTATTCCATGCCATAAGACTTTTCCTTCATTCTCACCATATGGAGTTTAGTATGAAGAAGAGCTGAATAAATATACATCCAAAAGGCAGGATGCCCCCCATGATGATACCAGGGAGAGGCTTCGTGTAGAAGGACTGCTCTGGGACCTGACGAGGAATCTGATTGGTCCGCACGGGGTGTTCAATACCCTGAAAACACCAGTCACAAGAGAGAGAATCAAACATTCAGATAGGTGCAGTATATCTTTTTTAAAGGGACCATATACAAATATTGAAGTGGATGGTAATGTTTGCAGATTGTAAATACATTTAAAAAAAACACAAATTAAACAAGGGTATATTGCACAACGTTTTATATTAGGCATATGGGTTATTTCCCATCAGGCATATTACAGTCTGTGTGTGTGGTGTTCTACCAGGGGCTGTTGTGGGTATACAGTATGACCGCAATTAGACAAATGTATCAGGAATGATTGGATGTTCACTTACTGCCTTCTTGAAGCCAAAGTATGCGCCTAGAAATGTGAGTGGCACTGAGATACAGAACCAAAGAGCCAATATGGCTACCAGGGTCCCAAATGGCATGGCTGCTGAAGACCCTTCCCCCCAGAGGATCAGGTTCATTACAAAGAAATCTGCAAACACCACCCTGCAGAGACGGGGGGGAAGATATTTATGATTAATGAAGGACAGGATCAGGTGCTGGAGTCTTTTCTTTTCTCATGTGTGCCGTCTCACCCAGGGCAGAGGAAGGCTGTCAGCAGGACGTTGGTCTTCCACTTCTCTCCTCCAAAAGCTGACATGGCAAATAAAAAAAGCACGTTAAGCGAATATAAATCAAAAAAGGAAAAAGATTTAAGACATTAACCCAACTGTATTATGAAATGGTCAATAACTGCAGCCCTACATGGGCTCTCCCTTTTCCCTCCACCTGAAACACTTCCTCTCTCACTTACATTTGTAGAGGCGAGCAGCCACATATCCAGCAGGAGTTCCCAGGAGAACCCAGAGAACCACAGCACAGGTCATCAGAGCGCCTCGGTTTGCTGGAGAGAGGAACCCCAGACAGGCGAAGACTGTAGAGGGGACAGAGAGCATTATTACACGTTATAGATTTAACGTTACGATACAGGAAGTGAGTCAGTTATACAGTAGAGGTCAGGGCATCTGCTCATGTTTCAGCTGAACACTCAACCAAGTCAATAAAACAATTGGGACCAAGACATGTACTCAGTGGGACATTTTTCAGTCTAGAAATAAACTTAAACGTGCTCATTTACTGTTTTTAAATGACCTGAAACATATCTGCGACCTTCCTTTTACTGACATTTATTGTCAACCTATCAAAGATAAAAAGTAATACTGAGATATCTGGGGTAAGCTAATAAAAGTTGCTATATTTTTTGTTTAAAGGGGCCCTATTATCCCCCTTTTCAGGTTCATATTAGTGGGGGTGTGTTCTGGAGGTAACACAGGGATTTTAGCCTTTGCAGACCATTAACATGCACTAAAACCTATAGAACACCGTTTACCACTGTACTGCGATTAATATAATTTTTTTTCAATTCTACTAAACAATCGGTAAGGTAATATACATAAAAAGACATACACAAGGTTATGAAGGTCATGATGAAGATCTGGGTTCCAGAGCCGAGGAAAACCGACAGCAGCATTCCCTTCCTTGGAGGTCGGAAAACATCTCCATGGACCAACTTCCATCCAAACTCCTCCTGAGCATCCTCCTGCAGAACAACACAAGAGAAGAGAGTTAAGATGGATCTTCATTGATCCCCCCCGTAGGTGTTATAGCAGCAACAGAATAATATACACAGGGATAAAAAGAATGTACATATATACAGATGTGTGTTAAATGTGCAGGTTATAGTGCAGGTACATATGAGCATTGTGCTGTGTTGCAGTGGTGACTATGAATGGCTACCACACCCCCACAGGTACTACTCACCACAGAGTCCATCTGATTGTATCTGGCAATATCTTTATGCAGAGTCCTCAGCATGATCATGGCTACCATCCCAGACAGGAACAACACGATCACCAACGAGTTCATGATGCTGGGGACAGAAACGTAGCAAAGCCAAATGAGTTGTTGCTGTTAAACCCCTTTGTATCATTACTAAGACAGACAAACGGTGGGCTAATAAAGTGGTGCAGTGATGACATCTTTTTGTAGGCCGCCCTGAAAGTTACCATCACAGGGGCTCCCTCCACAAAATGTGTACAAAAATTGCAGGAAATATAATCTGCGGCAAACACACATTTATGATACTTAAAGGTTTTCTAACCAAAAACACGTTCATTTCGAGAACAGGGAATCAGAAATGATAAAGGCTGACTCATTTCCAGGTTTTAGGACTCATTCCTGCACCACTCTACTCCAGGGTGGAGAAATGGTTTGACTGAATCATTATAAAAGGGTGGGACAGACTATCATGTTTTTCACATCAGAGGTGTTTTAAAACTAAATAATTATGGCTGACTTAATTCTTCCCATTGCTGTAAACCTACTTTCACTGAAAGCTGTTGTGAAGTGGGACTGTTCAACTGTGTCTATGGGTTAGAAAGACACACTGCTGTTGTTGAAATACAGTTTCAGGGTCTGCTTTGCCGTGATTTAAAGGGTGAATGCAAGATAAATAAACTTCTCAAACCGAAGAGCAGACAAATCTTGCCTTCTCACAAAACGTGGGTCAGCCGTTCCACACCTGTCCCTGCAGGCTCTCAAAACGTATTACAGATTCATTTTGGATCAACCACTTTTGTTGTTAATGAACTTCCAAACAATACTGGCAGAAGGAATACAACAAGGGCTCAAAACCACAACTAACTATTGTGAAAAACATCATATATGAGCCACAAAATGAGGGTCAGTGTGTGTCAGAGTCTTACCTGAACCACTGGATGTTGGTGTGAGGCATCGACTCCAGGATGTAGTCCCATCTAGACGCCCAACGTATACTCTTGTCCTCCTAAACACACATACACAAGTGCACAAGATGTTAAAGAAGCCCTATTCTTTTTGGGGGGGGCCATTTCCTGTAGTGTGTTATATGGGTGTGTGTGCATGTAAATAGTCTGCAAAGGAAAGAAATCCTAGATTAACCTAAATATGGGGAAGTTCCATCTGCAGTCTAATTGGAATGCCAATGTCCCTCTCCTGCCCCCCGAGGTAGATCTGCTGTTTGACACATTCAATCATTTCACTCATGCCTTCTGTCAGGCTTTGCTGCACGCACAATATAAGGTATGTAGATGAATGCACCTAATGCTAAACCAAAGCACAACATTATAGCGAGGACATATGAAATTCCAAAGCTGGATGTGGAGCCTGCAGGATTCAGCTGAGCTGCCACAAAGACAGGTGTGTGTGTGTGAGAGGACGATGGTGTGTGTTCAAACTGCTTAATTTGCATCACAAAACATGATGCCAATTATTGAAACCTTCCTCCCGATGCAGACATTTCATCTTGTGATGTGTAACCTTACTTTTCACAAGTGTCAAAACAACAGAAGACATTAACTGCAATTTTCCATTTTTACTGTATATTTACAAGGCAGGGGGATTACTTCTTCCTTAATAGTTCCCACTTTAGTTTGTATGGTGGTGTTTTAGGATTACTACACAGATGTGGAAATGAATGTAAAATTATTTCTGGACCGTGACAAGTTGTTTAGATCAAAACACTATATTTTACAGTTCCAGATACAGGAGACTAAAATGTTTTTGTAGATACACAGTGATCTGTTAGATGTAATGCACATTATTATACACAAATTACACTTGTTTTTCTTAAGAAATGTCAGGTGCATCAAGGGGATTTTATTGTACTGACCACAAATTTGACACTGTAGGTGTATTTGATGTCAAACACTCCCGTTTGTTTGTTTTTCAGGAACTTCGGCCCGCCAGAACAATCAGGACTCTGAAAGCTGGAAAGAGAGACAAAATACAAAGAGATTAAAGTATTAGAGTCCATGTGGTGGCATTTTCATTTATCCAAGGTGGAACAAATTATGAAACCATTGAGCTGTCTTTGTCCTATTTGATTTATTGCATGAAAGTTCAGTCAGTCATACAGAGAGCAAACTGTCTGCAGAGTGAATGACGCAGGACAGAGTTGGTGTTGCATATTTAAACAGAGAGAGGAGAAAGGGGGGGGGGGTCAAGCCTGGATAATGAAAGGATCATTCTGATAGTTAGGGAGGTTAGGGAGCTCTCAGTTCAACAGATGGTGAAGGTCAAACTGATGGTGCACATGGAGGGTAACTAACAACAATCGCAACAAATCTGCTTAATAAGGACTTTTCCCAAGCTGAGCAAAGACGTGGAAACCAGTAAATAGTGCTAAACATTAGCAAGTAAGAATCACACTGTGATATTATTCAAATTAGTGAGCGAGTAAAATGCTTCTCTGTTACAGTCCACTAGTTATCCAATAAAAAATGACACGCCAGTTATTACATGTGCATATTGAGATATTTTCACATTGCAGTTAGAACTTAGAAGAGTGCTAATGTATTAGCATCCAAAAAAAGTAACTTGCTGAGAAAAACTACCAACATATTACTACATACTACGTACTGTAATGCCAGTGGTTTAAAGTAACTAAGTAGATTTACTCAAGTACTGTACTCAAGTACAATTCAGGGACTCCATTTGTTATACTTTTACTCCACTACAACTGAGAGGTTAATCGTGTATATTTACTCCTTTAGGTACTTGACACACTTCAATAAGACTTTCGTTACACTTGCCGTTCAATTCCACAGGATTCATTAGCTGCACCTTTACAAGCTTTGATGAAACTTAAATGCTTCAATAATTATATTCAAAACATATCTTTATTTCTTTTTTTAACCAGAGGGCTTTTATTAGAGATGTGGGGGTGACATTGGGGAGGACATTGACTGAATGTTCGGCCAGCTCGGGATTCGAACCGACTTACTAGGCAGCGGTTTACGCATAAGGGAAGCCAGCTCAAACCACTGAGTTATCCGGAGGTACACCTGGAGTAAACTCACAAGCTACTCTGCAGTATACAAAGTCATTCCAACAAGCTGCACCTTTACCAGCTTTGAGAACACTTTCATGATCAATCATTATAAAACATATATATATATATATATATTATTCTGAAATGCACCATTCTGCACAATGACTACTTGCCAATGTACTTATCTAAAAGTGCATTACCTTTTGGGTTCAATCTTGGCAGCAACCAGCCGAGCTCCCAGCTGCTCATGCTCCACGATGTGGTAATGGATGGTGATGTCCACGTGGTTAAAGATGTAGAACGCATCCTTTTCATTAAAGTTAGGCTGGAAAACAAAACCAAGACACACAGGTGTAAAGCAAAGACAGGGTAGTAATGAGTTATTACAGATACATCTGTGTGTCTGATATGAACCATTCTGACTTCTGAGATTGAGACTGAAAAGCTAATATCAAAAAAGGGACTTTGTGTCGTTTGTTTCTTTAAATCAAAAACGTGTGCCATTAAAACAGTGTCAACATCTCACTAATGTTGATGTATCAGATTCCACTGTCTAATCATTTTCTATACAGATTTAAATATTGTGAATAACTGGCCGTTGTAAATATTGTTCATTAATGAGAATTGGACTGGTTTTGTGTGTGTCCATGTGTGACTCGCTCACATTGACTATGCAGGCGTCTTTGGGTCGACCTGCCTCTGTGACGTAACAGCCAATAGGGAAACCAGGATTACAGAACTTCTGCTCGTCTTCAACATCGTAGCACCAGGTCACAGGCATGTTATCCACAATCCTTCACACACACAAACACACAAGCTGTGAGCATCACCAAAGTACACACTATAAAATCACAACATAATACCTAACTAACTACCTACATTTTATTCACAGACTGTTTAAACAGTACACTCATATCATGGAGATATGGGACAACCCCATGTGTAGCTTTAGAGTAGAGGACCAGACACTAAACAGGAAGTATTTACAATATATATTACTGACATTCTGATTCTAATTATTTAGTTTTATAAAACACACAAACACAACAAATTAGATACATTTGGATGGATAAATTAAATTCATACATCAAGTTTATAAGAAAAAACGCAAGCAAACAAACGGTCACCTTATTTAAACGATGCTAGTGCAGAGACACATTATTACTGTGCAAACACACACACATCCTGCTCGCTGAAGCCCGTCAGTTGTTGTTCCTGAAGCAGCTCTGTTTGTTGAGGTGACTTTAGGTGTGCCCGCACACACGAAATTCTGCTCCAGCTTTTTTCCGTCTGCTCAGTAATCTAAATATTCTTATGCATATTTATATATTTGTACACACTACTCTCCCTTGCTGTTCATATATCTTATTTAGTTTTAGTTTTATCATGCAGCACATCATGCACTTTTAATTTGGGACAGGATTTTTTTAATGTCGGGTTATATTTAAAAAAAATTATATATGCTATTTTTATCTTACTTCTTTGTTTGTATGTATAGTTTCTTAATATTTTGGTGTGGAGAGCTGAAACAGAAGACTTTCGTTGTACAGTGCAGCTTCCTGTCATACTGTATATATATATATATATATATATATAAATACAATATCTTCAATCTTGATAGTGATACATTCTAATGAGTTATAATAAAAGTTTTTGTTTACTGTGAAACTTTGGTCTTATCTTGAGGCTGATATTTGGAGTTGCTGAACAAAATATATCTTAGAATTAGCCTGTATATGAGACTTTTGGGGAACATCGATGTGCAGGGGGACATATTTAGGGAGGCTTGAGACTTACCTAGCCTTACCTAGATTTCTCTTCTTTTTAAAAAAAACTTTTATTACGTTTATTTTAATTTACAAACACACCTGAATTGCTCCACATAAAGTGACTTTGAAACAACGGTGTCTGACGGAGAGATACCGTAGGTCAGGGATCACCAACTACATTTGTCCAAGGGCCAAAATTATTCTTAGAGACACTTTCGGGGGCCAGCGTTTTTTTTTTTGTAGCCCTGAATTTTGAAGTTGTTGACCGGGGGGGGCTAGTGGAGCACGCTCAAGTCGCGGGAGCCTCGTAGCGGGGGCTACTGCAGAGCGCATAAAGCAGACTCTTCACGCTAACGAAGGATCACTTCTTCTTCAGGGCAGGGAAGGCTACGCAGTACGCAGGCTGCTGCCTCTCTGTTGGACTCCGGTACTGCACATTACTCACGAGACGTTGTAAAAGAAAATTGAGTGGGGGGCGAACACACTAACCACTCCGCCAGCGCCACAGCGCGTGCCGGATGAGAATGTCTGGCGTGCCAGATTTGGCCCGCCAGTTGATGGTCACTGCCGTAGGTCCTTTCTTTCCTGCAGCATCAGACTGTAATATCTCTGATGTGCATTAACACTGCCTGTAAATATAAAACTTGCTCATATGCTCATCCCTTTTGTTCAATTCATTAGTTTTTATTGTAGTCAATTTGTAAACATCACCAGCTCCTTCAATATTTTGATATGGTCACTTTTTAAATACTGCTGTTTGTACCATCTTGTACTTATCGTTTGTTTTTACTTATTATGTTTTTATTATTCATAACGTGTGCCTCGTTTTTTTTAATATAATATGTAAGTCTACTCTTTTTACTGATTCTGTATTGTCTCCTCCTTGGTGGCATGATTAAACATGATTGCGTATGACATGGCTAACACTATATTAGTTATACTAAATTCTGTTTTTTGTATAAATGTGTTTATACATTCATACAAGATCCTCTCAGATGTTGTGTTGTAACAAAGGCTCATTGAGTTCATTGATTATTCATAGAAGTGCGTGTGCGTGTGCGTGTGTGCGCGTGTGTGTTATACGTACCAGTGATGCTGGTAGTTGAGTAGCATGCCTTTCTTCAGGAACTCCAGTTTGTTCTTGTCTGATGCTTTGCTGGTGTCGTAGGTTCTGTTGCACACCGACTGACACACTGCAGGCTTCTTAAACTCAAACTGACACAGAGGACACAGTCAGAGCTCACATATGTTCTCCATCATTGATATACACAATGTATCATTCTCCACTATGCACGTTTACAAAACAACAATAAAATTACATTTGATATAAAAACATAGACATTACTCTATCAAAAAAGAAAGAAAAAAACTTCCATGGAAATAATGACAAATTGTTACAAAGATAAAGAGTGGTAGTGTCTATAATGTGAGTGCATATTCAATTATCATCCTCCAATGTCTGTAGAGCTCTTACAAATATTTGTTCTTAAAGTCAGTGGTGGAATGTAACCAAGTACATTAACGCAAGTACTGTTCTTAAGTAATAAAAAAGGAGGTTTTACTTGAGTTTTTTTATTTTATGCTACTTTATACTTTACTCCACTACATTTTGTGAGTTAATGTTGTACTTTTTACTCCACTGCATTTATTTTTTAGATCTTTAGTAGTAGAGTATTTCAAATGTAACTTAAGTAAATAATTTGAGTACGTCTTCCACCTCTGATTAAAGTGTACTGAAGCAGCGTAACACATCAGCTGCGTTTGAGTCAAATACTTATGAAGTGTCCTGCTAACTGTGAAAACCTCCTGAGGACCAAATTGGGGACTGTCCATTCAAAAAACTAAAGATGCATTTATGAGGCAAAGTGTCCTTTAATCTTTGGGAAAGATGGGAACTTACATGCAGGGCCGGCCCTAGACATGTTGGTGCCCTAGGCGAGATTATGATTTGGTTCCCCCCCCTCCAAGCAATACACAATTGAATATATAAAGAATAAATGAAAAATCTCTACAAAAGACCAATACACTACAAAAACTGAAACGTATTGACATGTTGGTTACATACATAAAGACGTTTTCAAATGTATTCATTATTGTATGAACATGTTTTAATTGGGGGGTGGACGTCACATCCTCTAGGGGGGTTCGGGGCTATGCCCCCCCGGAAAGATTTGTTTTAACATTTTAAAGTAAAATGCTTCAATCTGGTGCACTTTGAGCAGAATGACTAGAGACTAGATCTAGGGGGTACAACTCTAAACACCCATATGAAAAAGATCGGTTTACATTTTAATAACCAAATAAGTATGTGAACATAAATAATAACCTACCATAGCCAATAACAAGTAAATGTAACGTATTTTATTGTTTTTGTTCATTCATATCTTATTTTACCTAGTTAACATTTATTTATTCATGCATTTTTTTTTAATATCTCCAGTTTTAAATGATATTTTTGGTTTACTGTCCTATAGTATTGGAATGATTTCAAACCTGTTGTTATTTATCCTAATAATTATAAAGGTGTGCCTTAGAAATATTTGTTTACATAAATTGTGACCAAACCGTTTGAGACCCACTGAGATAACTTAGACTAAAGTGAACTATCAAAACACTCCGAGTCCTTTACCTCACTGACCTGTAGTTATCAGCCTCAATCCAACAACAATCCGCGGTACCGATGCGCGCCCTCTCTCGCCTTTAATTGTACATTTTCATTATTAAGCTGTCTGCATTGTGTCTTACTCAAAAAGGGGAACCATATTTTTTGTTCCTGCAACCAAAAGCTGATGCCTGGTTACCAGATTGGCAATGACTCTAAAGTTAGTGTTCACCTCTGTCCCTTCCAGCGGCTCCTCAGGAATGAAGCTATGATTTTGTAATGTACAAAAAAGATTTGCCTGATGTCCCAGGAGCATTGAAACATTGCTTACCCTAACCCTGGCCTAAATATAGGACTGCATCGGCAAACATAGCTTCTGTATTTATTTGTTTAAGAGTATAGCCAATGAAAGATCTTCATTCATGGAATTCAATTGCTGTGTGTGTGTGTGTGTGTGTGTGTGTGTGTGTGTGTGAAGATGTGTGTTACCTTGTATGGCGAGGGTTCAATCCTCTCCCCAAAAAGAACCTGGCCCAGATTCTCTGATGGACGTTTCATTTTTTCCTCCGAGCAGAAGTCAAACCTGCATAAACAGGAAGCGTGTGTTCAAAGTGTGGAGGGGAGAACACATAAACCGCACACCTTTATTCCCTGTTACACAATGCACACAGTCACTTGTTATCTGGACCAAGTTTTTCCAACAGTGGAAAACTCTAAACAGATAAGAAGGCTCTAATTCACTGTTTAAACTCCGTGAACAGAGTGGTACAGGGATGACTTTATTTTGGTAGGAAAACACAGAGGTTAGCATCTGAAGGGCTGCCTAAACTAAAGGCAATAGGATTTTTCCAATGGAAAAATGAGATCTTTGGCAAGGACAGGTTTGACTTTTAGATGATGGACCACGGAAGCGGACCACTAAATCTGAAACTGGTCTAAAAAAATGTTTACAACTTCCCTTTATTTTTTATTTATTTTGACCATGGACTCATTCCAATCCAATTTATATGCACAGTAATGATTTTCATAACCGGAATTCTTATATCTAATTTACATAGGACGCAAATCTATCCTTTAAAGGTCCCCTATTATACTGTTTTTCATCAGTATATTATAGTTCTCAGATATATACAAAACATGTCTCTGAAGTGTTTGGCTCGAAATACCAAACGGATCATGCATTGTAGCATCCAATAATCCCCTCTGTTTCAGGGGGGGGGGGGGGGGGGGGGTGCTAGTGGAGCCTCACAGCAGTGAAACTGTGGCGCGCTTACACTGTAGGTGTGCCGCGTTTGGGGGTGAGGGTGCTAGTGGAAGCTCGCAGATGGGGGTGCTGCAGCCCCCTTAGCACCCCCCTTTCCCGTGTCCACGCTAGTAAATCGCGTTCACACCGGAATAAGTCCCTGAGGGAGCCGCTGACGTCACTTCTGCTGCTTTGGGTTTACTGGCAGGCCGCAAACAACTTCACGGCGCATACTGCCACCCAAAGTTCCCGGCCGGAAGTCCCCGGAGTTGGGGACTGGCTTCTACTGAAGCCTTCCGAGTAAATCGCCAGAAGCGCAGACACCTCCTCATCACTCCACCGCTCCCATGTTGTCTTTTGTGTTGCCATAAGTTAGTCTCTCTCCGTTGGTGCGCTGGGCTAATGCTAATGCTAATAATGCTAATGCGAGCAAATAAAATGGCGGCTTAACAAATACTTTTCAGAGTTTTACGGGGCGTGGTTTGCAATTCGCCCAGCCAATCAGAAATTGGAACCTTTTTCTCCCAAGGAAAGTCCCTGCTCTCTAGCAGGGACTAAAAAAGGGTGAAAAGGTTCGCAAAAAAAAGTTCTAGTTCCAGATCTTTTTGGTGTGAACGCAAAATCCCAGGAACTATCGGAACTATTCCTGGGAAAAGTACTCTGGTGTGAAAGCGCCTATTGGTGCTCTAGGAGGAGATTCAGGTGATAAGGTGTGGGGGGGGGGGGGGGTACCTTGGTTGCTGATTGGCTAATGGTTACACAAGCCAAACAATTGTTTTGACATCATAAAGTGCCAAAAACTGATCAGCTCATTTTCAGGTTTTTATATAAATGGGTCAGGACAAAAAGTGAGAGAATCTTTTTTCCTGAAACTTTCAGAATCTCTTTACACAGAAGGGACACATGTTTATGTATAAAAGACGTGAAAAAGTGGATTTTGCATAATTTAAAAAAGGTATAACTAACAGCAGGGGAGATGCTGCTTTTGGTTAGGGTTTCTTGCAATATAAAGAGAAAGAAAGAAATAGGCTCATTATATATAGATAAGAAGACCAAAATGGATGGAATGCAAATGTCACACATTGGTACATTGTTACACACTGGTCACTTACGCAGTATATTCATAAGGCAGAACAGACTCCACTGAATCCAACCTGTTCACAAACAGTTCGATGGTGGGCTGGAATAAAACAAAGCAGAGAGACACATATCAGGCATTCGTGTTCATGTTGACAGACTCTGATTCTTTATAGGGTGGTTCTCTTTTTACACCTTGAAGGGAGCGTTTGGACATTTAAATGCAACCTCTTTTTGTAGTTTGGTGGAAAATCATCATATAAAAAAGTTACAGGGGATACATGCTTTTTCTAGGCCTTATGCTCTGTTGTTCACTGGTTCTCTGAGGGGTTTCATATGGCAGAGTAATTCAAGCCCCTTCATCACCTTGCCGGCAGCGGATGCAAAGGAAAATTAAGTCAGAAAGGAAAAGACCTAATACCAATTTATTTGTTCTGTTAATACAGTGCCACTGTTATTAAAAGGGGCCCTAATATGCTCATTTTCAGGTTGATATATATTTTTTCTTCCACTGTGACACCTCTCTATGCTTTAATGTTCAAAAAGCTCTTTATTTTTCTCATACTGCCTGTGCTGCAGCACCTCTTTTCACCCTCTGTCTGAAACCAGAGCCCAGTCGGCTCTGATTGGTTAGCTGGTCGGCTCTGTTGTGATTGGTCAACTGCTTAGCGATGTCCCGCCCTTAGCCTATCACGTACAATGTGTCGGAGCGCTAGCCAATAGAAGTACATGTGTTACATAGTGATTTTAGCCTTTGCAGATCATTTACATGCACAAAACCCTATATAAACACACTGCAGGAAAGGAAAAATAACAAAAGCATAATAGGGCCCCTTTAATAAAATGACAGGGAGCTTTGTTGCCAAGAGGAAATAAAATGTGACCCAAAAAAACATTTTCTTTAATTATTAATCAAATACTGCTATTTTCAACACCTTGTTGTTATGGATTACTCTTCTAAAGTGTTGTTTTCTAATGTTAGGCTCTGTGGATGTGTGAGGGTTAATGTTCCAGCCAAATCAGATTTTAAGGTAACCTACAAGTGACACAAGAAAGCAACAGCTACATTTGAAGCATGAATGGGGACTATGCAAGTGTCTGAATATCCCACAGGGTTCTGCAAAGGTTTCATAATAAAAGCTTTGTTCAGAATAAGGGAATCCATTGAAACCATGTAGGCATGAAGAGAAGTGGTTACAGCACCCATTCCACTGCTCACTGGCTCATGGAGCTAAAATGGCTCTACTTTCTATCGGGCCCATAGAGTATGTGCAGCAGCGTTGTCCTTAAACCCCCCCCCCAAGCTGCTACGTCTCGGCCCGTCCTGGCTAAGTCATATGAATGGGGGAAAATTACTCTGTAAATGTGCCTTTTGTGTGAGGCACATTTAACAACTTATGATTTATATAAGGGCCATTCAAGAGTTGAGTGGTTTAGGACAGTTAATCAATGTAAGAAGTTCTTGATTTTATTTTCAAAAGTTAAGTTCAAAATTGGTTTGGTCAAATTACATTGTACAACACTTTTGATCTGGGTTTAAACATTCTGAATTCAAGCAGCAATCGGCTTTCTGAAAAATGGTCTCCATACTACATTTCAACAGAGCTTTACTGCTGCATTAGTATGTGAGACTCTGCTAGAAATCAATAAATCTGATATGTGCGCTCCTTTGTGTGATTCTCCTCGTAACATGTTCTCAAATGAACAGAAAGAAAATAGGTTGCCAAAGAGCAACACGTTTGATTCAGCCATGATCTATTTAACCACATTTCCTGACATTGAGAACTGTGTTTAGGTAGACAGTATACAGTGTTTCCCCTACCATTGTCTTGGAGGGGCGCTGCGCCCCGTCAACGGAGCCCCGCGCCCCCACTGAAATTCAAGGTGTTTAAAAAAAGAAAATTATAATTTTTCTTTTTTATATATAAAGCACCAAATTGCAACTAATCTATATCTACTGTCACTTTTCACATTGAACATGTGCTCTTTTATTAAATAAACTAAACGCTTTCATTTTAATTTGTGAGTTTAGTGTTTTTGACCCTAAGAAACACTGATGCATTAATCAATAACAATAATCCACAGCTCCTCTCTCTGCTCCAGGGGATTTCAAAAAAATTAATCCCAATGCCCCCGCCTCAGGCAGCACCCCCCCAAAGCAGTAAACCTAGGGGAAACACTGGTATAGTTTGTATTCTATGTGTTGCAACATTTCTAACAGTGACCTCAGGTGCCGGAACAAGTGATGGGGATCAGTTCACATAATCAGTATAATGTGAACATGTAGAAATGTCTACAGGCTTATCTCTGACCCATGGAAAATGAAGTCCAAAATGTACAAGCTGACTGTTATGGGATTATTTGGAGGTTATTATGATAACTGACAACTGCGAAAGATTCCAATGAAACCCAACCCTTCATGTTTTTGCAAAGGCACATTTCTATAGCATGTTAACTACATAAAGGTAACATACACATTTTTACTATAGCTGTGTGTGATGTGTTATTCATGCCAAGGTGAGGCAGTTGTATTTCATTCCTATGACGGTGTAGAGTGTATCTACTTGTTTTTGATGTGCCTGTTAGAGGGGCTCAATTTAACATGATTAGGACAGTAAGTGATTTGTCTTTCAAAATTTCGTATAGGCAAAAAGTTGCAAATAATATATAGTATGTTCTAAATATGTGTTTTCAAGTCTATCTGAATGCTTAAACTCAAAGTTATTAGATGAACATTTGAGCTTTGTGCAAGTTTGGAGGCCACTGACTATCACAACTGATACTAAACACATTAGGGCGGTCTGTCAGTGAAAGTAGGTAAGTAGCCCAATTTTAGAGTGTTACATAACAATGTGAATTTAAATATCAAACTGCCCTTATTGTTAGCAACAAGCAAATGGGTCCGGGTGACAAAACATAGAGACAGCGCGATGGCTTTTCATATTCTTCTACATGGGAAGTATTTTGTGTGTCTCTCCTCTCCTCCCTCTCCTCCCTCTCCTCCCCCCCCCCCAGAGGGGGAGCCACTATTTCAAGTATACTACGTCATCGAGTGGCGCCAAATGCTGGGCATTTAAACAGTCCTTCGGCGCCACTCGATGACCTAGTATACTTGAAATAGTGGCTCTGCAGCAGCTTTACTCAACATTGAGAAACGGCCCCTGTCCACACTGTGCAGCTCCTTCAGGGACAGGCTGCTGTGTCTCACAGAGAGATACCCCTGGTAGACCCCCACACATATAACAACACAGACTATACACTTCTGCTGTGCAATAATACTTATGTGCAATATAGACAGACATTGGGAGTAACAGATTACATTTAACGAGATTATGTAATCAGGATACAAAAAAAAAGGTAACTGTATTCGATTACAATTACATTAAAAAAACAAGTTATCAGATACTGTTACATTTAAAGATAAATAAAGATGACTAGCAGGATGCAGTGTTACAATATATTATTAAATAATAAAGATTGATATATTATAGGTAGTTATTTTTTCTTTATGGTTTATATTCAGGCTACTTTAATATTTCTTTATTTTAAATTAAAAAAATGTAAATCAGACCTGATTTATTAAACAAAATTACAGTTTGCTTTTGTAAACTATTATAGTTACGACATTATTGATATGAAATATCTTGTTTATTTACTTTATACATTCAACATTTAATTGTTATTTAAAATACTTTTACTGGTACTTGTTTTTTTCCACCTGGATGTGTAGTTTTGTAAAATTGTATTTTGTGTAATTTCTATTTCTATCTTGAATATGTAATGCATGCATGCCTCTTGTCCCTTCTGTGGGACGAATAAAAGGTATTCTGATTCTACTCAGTATTTATTTACTGAGTAAAATCATTTGAATACAATCAAATATATCAGTCTGTTCAAATCAATATCAGAGTACATTTTGACATTCTAACTGAACTATCTAGCAATATAATGTTTGATGACCAGGCAAACGACGTAACTTGGAGGTATTTAGCTAAGCAGCAGCTAGCTTGCTCTCTTGTTATTGTAGTATCCGTTAGCTTTGTTTGTTTTGGCTAACGTTAGCTGCCACATACATTATAGCTGTTTATAAAATAACTAGCTAACCTTCTGCATTTACATGTTCCTATCTATGTATTTTGTGAGTGTATACTGTGTTGGTTGTTCAGTTATTTAGTTGTAGCCCCTGCAGCTGCTCAGGTGATGTTCGACATGTTTACCTTGCAGTCTGGGACCTGCTCGTTCCCCGGCTCGCAGAAGCTGACGGGGGCAAGACCCGGGAGGTAGAAGCCGGCCGCCCGAGCCAGCAGCGCGGCTCCAAGCAGCCACCGCAACATCCTCACCCGGCCTCTCTTCACTCAGGAATAACACAGTTAACTTGCTTCGCAGTCTACAATGCATCTGACATCCACACCGGACCACCACCAGCATCCGGTTCTGCAGTGGGCAGACACGTCACATTCCGGAAGTCCTGCTTCGTGAAGAGAGGCGAAGTCCCTCCCTTTCCGGGGGAGCTCCATGGGACCTTATTTCGGAAAAAGTATGTAGTTGAAGTCTACATACCAAATGTGACGGTGTGGTGTAGGTAAGAGTTTGTGTTGCCAACAACGCCACCTAAGGGAGTTTCACCCCTAGGAACTAACTATTGATAATAAAAGATTTAACCCACAAGGAACACAGGTTCGTTTTACATAACGGGCCAGAGACCGTTTCAGTTACAGTTAACACAATTACTTTATTTTATAACAATCAATTAACTATTCTAAAAACACCAGATACACATTATACAATCAGTTAAAAGTTAATACTGGGGCATAGGAGGTACAAGACAGGGCTGGGGCTTACCAGGCGGCAATAAATCAAAAAGGGGGAAGGGTCCAACTCAAAACCACTCGTGACACCGCAAACCAAACAACAGGACTCGTGAAGAACACCACCACCAGGGATTGGGGTTGCCGCCTCAAGCCCACAGCACCTGTCGGACAAGAGGAAGACGGTTAAAACCTCCACACAGTATTACACTTAAATAAATAACTAAATAAATAACCAAACAAATACAACCAAATGAATGAACTTATCCAAATAAAGTCTGCACTGTTAGAAATTAAAATCAATGTTAAACAGCATAATTCAGTCTAAAACATATCGTCAGTTTAAAGCTGTTTTATTGTGGAAAAGCCCGGAAGTTCTCAGGAAATCAATGCCAAGCTTTTATTTTGAAAAATCCTTTATCCGGTTAGCTTGTGACTAATGTTGCGTTTTCTGAATGTAAAGTGAAAATGACTTGGAGTGTTACACACAAACGTACGGACTTTAACACTACATCGATAGACGTTAAGATATTATTACTGCTGAATATTAAATGAAGGTCTAGTTGATCGTAGTGTTTACAGATACGTGAGAAGCTATGACGTCAGAGGGAATTTCCGTAAAATAAGAACTGTGCCGGAGCGGAACCACTAGGACTTCTAAACTAAGTATTACAGCTGTTTATAAGGTATTAAATAGAAAGTCATGACAGAGATAATGAGGAGAAAATGCTTAAGGAAGTAGGCAGAGAATATCAATGTCGAAATCATCTGTGCTCTCGCGATATCGAACCGGCAAATGAGTAGGGGGCCACCCACTATTTGCACAGCGGGGGACAACGAGACGTGGATAAAAAGGCAGGACGAAAGATAACTCAGTCTCTTCCCTTCGCTGCAGCCTCCCTCAAGACAACACCGGCTTTGTCTCTCCATTCACCATGCTTGTTCTTTAACCACGTTACTTAATTAAACTACCCATTTGAACCTTTTCAGAGACTCCATTAGTCTCGTTATTTTAAGTTTCTTTCCTGGGAGCGAGAAGATCACAAATTATCAACAGCACACAATGGTTCATATTAAACAAGGAAAACACTAGTATATAAACCTAAATAACAAAACCAACAAAACCAAATGAATGAACTTGTCCAAATAAAGTCTGCACACAATGGTCGATGTTAAACAAGGAAAACACTAGTATATAAACTTAAAGAACAAAACCAAATGAATGAAGGTATCCAAATAAAGTCAGTGCACAATGGTTAATATTAAATAAGGAAAATACTAGTATATCAACTAAATTAACAAAACAAAATAACATTGAAGTCAATGGAGAGAGAGAAAGATTATCTTTCGATCCCGTTTGAATTGTGCCACACATATGATGTTTGTCAATTTAAAAGATAATTTTGCAAGTCAAAAAAATAAAAATGTGTAGTAAAACTGTGAAGTAACACTTTTTTTGTGTGAAACCGCTCAATGAACTACATCTCCCGTCTCGCACCTCACACCAAGACGGCCGTCACGTTGACACATTTCACTTCTTTCTTTCAGAATGAGGCGAAAAGTATTAAAAGAGGTGAAAATCACTACAAGTCTGGGCATGTTGAGAGCTGTACACACACACAAGGGGAGTTAGTCGGTTCCGTAAGAGCCATGCAGGACCGGGATTCTGGGATTTGTAGTCTTTCTAGTTGCGTATTTTTCATAGTCTTATATTTCAACAGTTTTAAGACAAACTGTGACTTTTTTGACATGGAAATGATTTTTTAAGATTGACAAACATCATATGTGTAATTCATGGCACAATTCAAACGGGATCGAAAGATAAGTTTTCTCTCTACATTGCCTTCAATACATAATTTTTCCGAAATAAGGTCCCATGGACCGGAAGTAGATGGGCGTGACTTCGCGTCTCTATAGTGGGATCAGGCATGCTAACGAATCACGAGACGTGCAGGCATTCCGCGAGGTTGTTGCGGGTTGTTGCAGCAATATTCCCAGAGGTTGAATGTAACTAAGTATATTTACTTAAGTATTTACAAGTATCATTCTGAGCTATAAAGTCATTTAAATTATCCCCAAGTGCAACATTGACTTAAATGCACTAATAATTAAAATACAAAAACAAATGTTTGAAATATCCGATATCAGCCATACTGGAAAATGTGTACTTTTACTTTTTGTAGTTGAAGTATTTTTTTATGCCAATACTTTTTTACTTTAACTTGAGTACAATTTTGAATGCAGGGCTTGTACTTGTAAAAGAGTATTCTCACAACGTAGCATTGCTACTTTTACTTAAAGATCTCCTATCATGCTATTTTTAGGCATAGGCTATATCAGGGGTCGGCAACCTTTCTGATATGAAGTGCCATTTAAAAAATAAAATCTGATTAGTGTGCCGACGTTCGTGAACTGTAAATGGGGGGGAGAGCTCGACGCTCGTTACCTGTCAACGGGGGGGGGCTCGTGAACTGTCAACTGGAGGGCGGGGGGAGCCTCGCTGCGGGGAAGCTGTGGACCTCTGTCGCCTGTCAGCGCAACTAAAGGCCCCTACACACCAGGCCGATATCGGCCGTCTTGCGTTGTTGGGCGAAAACGGGTTCCTTATCGCCCAAAGTCAATTTGGTGTGTCCCGAACCCTCGGCCGTGACACGCCTTATTTGGCCTTTCACAGTCGACACCCGGCCGATTCAACATGTTGAATCGGCCGGGTGTCGGACACAAGCTATCGGGCCAAGAAACCACTCTGATCAGCTGTTCAGCTAGCAAATGAGAAGCGAAACGGAAGTGAGGGACGTAAACAAACGATTTAAGGCACAAGACAGCAGCTAAACACCAGCAGGTGATACTTAAAGACATCAAACATAGCCCTTAAATGTCCTCTCTTACCTCCCACACATAGCAGGGACATCTCTGATATCGGCGGGAGCGTCCCCGGCTGTCCTCTGCTGAGAGCTCCGTGATTTGTTTGGTCAAGTCCGGTTTTTCATCTCATCGTAAATTTAGCAAGAAGTGGCCATTATTACATTGCTGACTCAATAAACTACACACCCGCCAGAACACTGCGATCATCAGATGCAGGTCTATTAACTGTGATTTTATAGTATGTCTGCACTTTATGTGCTCATTTCATCATTCATGTATTTTTATATTCTAAAACGTGTTTTCGATGGACGAGAGTGAAAATGGAACGCACATGCTATTTGTTTGTTTATATCAGTCTGTTCTTCTTCTCTGTCTTCCGGTTGTTGCCTATTTTGAATGACGAATACACACTACCGCCGCCTGCTGGTAAGGAGAGTTATTGCCACTCACGCATGCGCAGTTCGTACGTGCTCGGCTGAAGTCTTTGCGGTGATTTCCAGTGCGACACACGGCCAATACGCAGGAGAACTCGTCGATGGAACTGTCGGTGTCGGGTGTCGGCGAGTTCTCTGGTGACTGCCTGGTGTGTCAGGGCCTTTACATGATGCCGTTTAAACACATTTAAATAAATAATGGGCGGTGCCGACCGTCAGCGAACCGAGCCCGGTCGTCAACGGCCCGCTGGCGACCGGCTCGGTTCGCTGACGACCGGACGTACTGTGATTCTCCAGAACACACAGTTGGCTGTGTTGGCCCCAGTAGGTTGTTCTCTGGAAGTTTTTCCTTGTACGATGTGAGGGTCTAAGGATAGAGGGTGTCGTTTTTCTCATACTGATATTCTGAACAAACTGTGCTGTTGTATTTGCTGTAAAGTGTCTTTACTGTAGGGTATTTTTATTATATGTACAGCACTTTGGCTCGACCAAAAATCGTTTAAAAATGTGCTATATAAATAAAACTTGATTTGATTTGATTTGATCATCTGAAGTCTGGTGCCGTTTGGAAGATTTTCCTTTGAGTTGCGACAATATCGTGTTTAATGGCGAGGGATGCGTTTCTGTGGAAACGGCATATGATGAGACCTCAGATTTGTCGTAGAGCTGTTGGGGCATGGACCGGTGATATGCAAGTGAAGTTTGGTGGACGATCAGACCGTGTCGATTGGAGTTACAGCGGCATTGTGTTTTATGGCGAGGGATGCGTTTGCATGGTAACGCCACATGATGAAACCTCAGATTTGACGTAGAGCTGTTCAGGGCCGCAGTGTTAACCATCATGTGACGTTTGGTGGCGTTCGGAGAATGTCAGTTGGAGTTATGACTTCATCGTGTTCCATGGCGAGGGATTGCAGCATCGAGCGAACGTGAAAATGGGCGCCGCATAACGACTACGCTGTGCGGTGAAGAATTACGATTTTTACATTTTCATCCCCCATTTCTTGAGACGCTACCCGCCAAATTTGGAGTCGATCGGATAAAATCCGTAGGAAGAAGAAGAAGGGGTACGTGGCTCCTCCCACTAGATCAGGTGAGCTGCTCCCCAAAGGGGGCATGGCCTAGGGTTTAAAATGAGAGGGAAATGTTTGGTGCTGGTTGTTGAGGTGAGGCTGCAGGTGAGTTGCTATAGAGTGCCACAGTGACGCGTCCTAAAACCCGGAAGTA